CCCCTACACCCTATCCAAGACGTGACGCCCCTACACCCCATCCAAGACGTGACGCCCCTACACCCTATCCAAGACGTGACGCCCCTACACCCTATCCAAGACGTGACGCCCCTACACCCTATCCAAGACGTGACGCCCCTACACCCTATCCAAGACGTGACGCCCCTACACCCTATCCAAGACGTGACGCCCCTACACCCTATCCAAGACGTGACGCCCCTACACCCTATCCAAGACGTGACGCCCCTACACCCTATCCAAGACGTGACGCCCCTACACCCTATCCAAGACGTGACGCCCCTACACCCCATCCAAGACGTGGCGCCCCTACACCCCATCCAAGACGTGACGCCCCTACACCCCATCCAAGACATGACGCCTCTACACCCCATCCAAGACATGACGCCCCTACACCCCATCCAAGACATGACGCCCCTACACCCCATCCAAGACATGACGCCCCTACACCCCATCCAAGACATGACGCCCCTACACCCCATCCAAGACATGACGCCCCTACACCCCATCCAAGACATGACGCCCCTACACCCCATCCAAGACGTGACGCCCCTACACCCCATCCAAGACGTGACGCCCCTACACCCCATCCAAGACATGACGCCCCTACACCCCATCCAAGACGTGACGCCCCTACACCCCATCCAAGACGTGACGCCCCTACACCCTATCCAAGACGTGACGCCCCTACACCCCATCCAAGACATGACGCCCCTACACACCCATCCAAGACATGACGCCCCTACACCCCATCCAAGACATGACGCCCCTACACCCCATCCAAGACATGACGCCCCTACACCCCATCCAAGACGTGACGCCCCTACACCCCATCCAAGACGTGACGCCCCTACACCCCATCCAAGACATGACGCCCCTACACCCCATCCAAGACATGACGCCCCTACACCCCATCCAAGACATGACGCCCCTACACCCCATCCAAGACATGACGCCCCTACACCCCATCCAAGACATGACGCCCCTACACCCCATCCAAGACATGACGCCCCTACACCCCATCCAAGACGTGACGCCCCTACACCCCATCCAAGACATGACGCCCCTACACCCCATCCAAGACGTGACGCCCCTACACCCCATCCAAGACGTGACGCCCCTACACCCCATCCAAGACGTGACGCCCCTACACCCCATCCAAGACATGACGCCCCTACACCCCATCCAAGACGACGCCCCTACACCCCATCCAAGACGTGACGCCCCTACACCCCATCCAAGACGTGACGCCCCTACACCCCATCCAAGACGTGACGCCCCTACACCCCATCCAAGACGTGACGCCCCTACACCCCATCCAAGACGTGACGCCCCTACACCCCATCCAAGACGTGACGCCCCTACACCCCATCCAAGACATGACGCCCCTACACCCCATCCAAGACATGACGCCCCTACACCCCATCCAAGACATGACGCCCCTACACCCCATCCAAGACATGACGCCCCTACACCCCATCCAAGACATGACGCCCCTACACCCCATCCAAGACATGACGCCCCTACACCCCATCCAAGACGTGACGCCCCTACACCCCATCCAAGACATGACGCCCCTGACGACCCCCTACACCCCATCCAAGACGTGACGCCCCTACACCCCATCCAAGACGTGACGCCCCTACACCCCATCCAAGACGTGACGCCCCTACACCCCATCCAAGACGTGACGCCCCTACACCCCATCCAAGACGTGACGCCCCTACACCCCATCCAAGACGTGACGCCCCTACACCCCATCCAAGACGTGACGCCCCTACACCCCATCCAAGACGTGACGCCCCTACACCCCATCCAAGACATGACGCCCCTACACCCCATCCAAGACATGACGCCCCTACACCCCATCCAAGACGTGACGCCCCTACACCCCATCCAAGACATGACGCCCCTACACCCCATCCAAGACATGACGCCCCTACACCCCATCCAAGACATGACGCCTCTACACCCCATCCAAGACATGACGGCCCTACACCCCATCCAAGACATGACGCCCCTACACCCCATCCAAGACATGACGCCCCTACACCCCATCCAAGACATGACGCCCCTACACCCCATCCAAGACGTGACGCCCCTACACCCCATCCAAGACGTGACGCCCCTACACCCCATCCAAGACGTGACGCCCCTACACCCCATCCAAGACGTGACGCCCCTACACCCCATCCAAGACGTGACGCCCCTACACCCCATCCAAGACATGACGCCCCTACACCCCATCCAAGACATGACGCCCCTACACCCCATCCAAGACGTGACGCCCCTACACCCCATCCAAGACATGACGCCCCTACACCCCATCCAAGACATGACGCCCCTACACCCCATCCAAGACATGACGCCCCTACACCCCATCCAAGACATGACGCCCCTACACCCCATCCAAGACATGACGCCCCTACACCCCATCCAAGACATGACGCCCCTACACCCCATCCAAGACGTGACGCCCCTACACCCCCATCCAAGACATGACGCCCCTACACCCCATCCAAGACGTGACGCCCCTACACCCCATCCAAGACATGACGCCCCTACACCCCATCCAAGACATGACGCCCCTACACCCCATCCAAGACGTGACGCCCCTACACCCCATCCAAGACATGACGCCCCTACACCCCATCCAAGACGTGACGCCCCTACACCCCATCCAAGACATGACGCCCCTACACCCCATCCAAGACATGACGCCCCTACACCCCATCCAAGACATGACGCCACTACACCCCATCCAAGACATGACGCCCCTACACCCCATCCAAGACATGACGCCCCTACACCCCATCCAAGACATGACGCCCCTACACCCCATCCAAGACATGACGCCCCTACACCCCATCCAAGACGTGACGCCCCTACACCCCATCCAAGACATGACGCCCCTACACCCCATCCAAGACGTGACGCCTCTACACCCCATCCAAGACAGGGTGTAGATTGATTTTTAACTGGTGTTTGGCGCACCAGAGTGTGTGTTCCTGTGCTTTGGTCTGCCTTTCTAAGTGTTTATAGCAATGTTGGTTAGGTGGTTTGGTTAGGCTAGGTTAGGTAGATAAGGTGGCTTGGTTAGACTAGGTTATGTTATGGCTAGGTTAGGTGGTTTGGTTAGGTAAGGTTAGGTTAGGTAGATTAGGTGGTTTGGTTAGGCTAGGTTAGGTAGATAAGGTGGCTTGGTTAGACTAGGTTATATTATGGCTAGGTTAGGTGGTTTGGTTAGGCAAGGTTAGGTTAGGTAGATTAGGTGGTTTGGTTAGGGTAGGTTAGGTAGATAAGGTGGTTTGGTTAGGGTAGGTTATGTTAGGTTGTTTGGTTAGGCAAGGTTAGGTAGATTAGATGGTTTGGTTAGGCTAAATCAGGCAGATAAGGTGGTTAGGTTAGGCAAGGTTATGTTAGGGGCTTTGTTAAGAGGATTAGGTGGTTTGGTTAGGCTAGGTTAGGTAGATAAGGTGGTTTGGTTAAGATAGGTTAGGTTTGGGTGGACTTGATTAGGTTAGGTGAGTTTAGGTGCTTTGGTTAGGTTTGGTTAGGGGATTTAGTTAGCCAGGTTAGGTTAGGTTAATCGCTTTGGTTAGGCTAGATGCATTACATGCAATGCGTCGCTATGAGACGCATTGTTTGATCGAGGCTGAGTAACGATTGATCAAGGTTGAGTAACGATTGATCAAGGTTGAGTAACGATTGATCAAGGTTGAGCAACGATTGATCAAGGCTGAGTAACGATTGATCAAGGTTGAGTAACGATTGATCAAGGTTGAGTAACGATTGATCAAGGTTGAGTAACGATTGATCAAGGTTGAGTAACGATTGATCAAGGTTGAGCAACGATTGATCAAGGCTGAGTAACAATTGATCAAGGTTGAGTAACGATTGATCAAGGTTGAGTAACGATTGATCAAGGTTGAGTAACGATTGATCATGGCTAAGTAATGATTGATCAAGGTTGAGTAATGATTGATCATGGCTAAGTAACGATTAATCAAGGTTGAGTAACGATTGATCAAGGTTGAGTAACGATTGATCAAGGTTGAGTAACGATTGATCAAGGTTGAGTAACGATTGATCAAGGTTGAGTAACGATTGATCAACGTTGAGTAACGATTGATCAACGTTGAGTAACGATTGATCAAGGCTGAGTAACAATTGATCAAGGTTGAGTAACGATTGATCATGGCCAAGTAACGATTGGTCAAGGTTGAGTAATGATTGATCATGGCTAAGTAACGATTAATCAAGGTTGAGTAACGATTGATCAAGGTTGAGTAACGATTGATCAAGGTTGAGTAACAATCGATCAAGGTTGAGTAACGATTGATCAAGGTTGAGTAACAATTGATCAAGGTTGAGTAACGATTGATCAAGGTTGAGTAACGATTGATCAAGGTTGAGTAACGATTGATCAAGGTTGAGTAACGATTGATCAAGGTTGAGCAACGATTGATCAAGGCTGAGTAACGATTGATCAAGGTTGAGTAATAATTGATCAAGTTTGAGCAACAATTGATCAAGGCTGAAGAATGATTGATCGAGGTGGGTATAGCAGAGCCAAATCACTGCTAAGCACGGTACACCCAATTACTACATTGTATGAAAAAAGTCATCAGGAAGAAACGATATCACACACAACGAGATGAAATAAAGCCAGAGAGAGTAGACACAGAAGAGGCTTGGGGGTGGGACCTCGCGTCAGCTCTATTTACCCTCTTCCTCTCTCCCCTCTTGACTTACAGCCTCCAGTAGAGGCCCTCAATTGCCTTCAGGGATATTGGAGATCCTATTTAACACCGGCCGTCGATCTTAATTGACTAATTGCCTTATATCAAATTCGGAAATGGGCGTTGCTAGCTAACGCAGCAACGCTGGTTGTTAATGGTGTACTGCAGAAGTTACAAGGTTGGGTTTGGCAGGTGAATGCTTCTACCAATCACCCGACGATATGGATTAGATTATCAAAAATGGCCAATCACTTCGCGAGAAAGGGGGTTTCCGCCAGTCAGGCACGTAGGTAAATATTTCGCGCGTGGAAATATATGTTAAATATGTTAAAATATATTGTCAATGTTCCCAGCTGTCATCTGCCGTGTCCTGTATTGAAAATAATGAAAGTGTCAATAATTCCGTATCTCCAGTTACTATGATTGTGGATATATAATGTGCTTGAAGTAGTAGATATACTATCTACTATGCAGGCGATGAGTCACAATAACGTGGCTGAAGTATGTTGACCGGACCACACACTAGAAGTTGAAGGGACGACGACGTTTCGGCCCGTCCTGGACCATTCTCAAGTCGAATGGTCCAGGACGGACCGAAACGTCGTCGTCCCTTCAACTTCTAGTGTGTGGTCTGGTCTACTATCTACTACTCCTCTCACTGTACTATCTACTACTCTCAGTACTATCATGCTACTACTACTGTGATGTGGGACACCGTTGTAACATTTGGGTGTCGAGGCTTAATCACTTCAGGAAGGTGATTAAGGCCAACACAACACCTTACTGACTAACCGGTAAGTTTACTGCCGTCATGAACTGCATTTAGAAATGAACTAGGCTTTCGGTGAGGAATGGCTGCCTCAGGCAATGTTCATTCCATCCAGCGGCCGACCCCACGGACGCGTTCATCAGCTTTAACATGCTGTTCATTAATCAATAGGAATTTTCTCAAATATATATTAATTTTATTATATATTAGCATCTTATACAAATTTGGGCGCAGGATAGGTTAGGTGTTTACGAACTGTTGGCGATTACTTATATTTGTGGTACGTGGGTGAAGCATTTACAGAGTTGTGGTTCGAACTGAGGTCGTTAATGAAGCACAGTTCGAAAAATGTTCGAACTTCATCAGTTGTGAATCAAGTGTAATGCGCTTATCATTCACAAACAGGGTGTTTGGTGGCTGCTTGGACTGAACACTTGGGGGCCTTGTTGATGAAGACAGACTGTTCTGTTGATGATTTTGCTCTAGTGGCAAGTGAACCACGAGACTTCAAACCTCAGGGTTCTCACAGGGTTTGGTGTTGGAGTTTAATGCCTATGAGACTCTGGAGGGTTATTAAGACCACCACAATACTTTACTGAGCCACCACCAAGAATACTTTGTGTACAGTGTATGTACACTAAAAAGCTAATACACCTCTCTGTGAATACAGCCCTTGTCATAGCAAGCGATGAGAATTGGTTTTAATTACCGTATCTATCATGTGTGGTTTCTACACATTGCCTTTATCTATTTTAATAATTTTTCTACTTAATATAAAATTATGATCATGGTCTTGGCCAGTTATAAATAAATCAATTCAGTTTCCTTTTTATTAAATCTGAACTTGAGAATTGTAGAATATGAAAATGTAGCAACATAGAGGAAGAAGACTTAGTCACAACTCATCAGTCATCATTTATAAGTTACAGAAAAATACGGCTTTATTACCTCAGTCGGTATTATTAATTCAGGTATGAAAACAATGAATTCTGTGAAAGGTTAAGTATATATATATGTCGAATGGTGTACCCCAGCTCTGGGTATTCATATTGAGTTTACTTTAGTCTACAACTTATATAGTGTAAACCTTTCCCCCTAATAGTTTCCCCCCGAAACACGACCCGCCACCCAGTTTACAACCAGGGTGAAGAGGGTTGAACAATGATTAACGCCCACTCAATCCTCCGTGACCAGGGCTCGATCCCCAGATGAAATCTATCCCGAAATGCGTAGTGAATACCACCAGCCACATATACTAACCAACATCTATAGAAGCTTGGATCACTAAATGTTACATCTAAATAATGCAGACAGCATCGCCCTGGAGTCCAGCGCCAAAATTTAACTTAGATATCTCTAACGTTAAAAGAAAACTATATTTTTGTTGTAATTATAAACGCGAATTGATTTTGAGAATTATTAACAGGAAGATGTAGATCGTTGTGACTTCTATCTCCATCTCTACTCCTCACCATGTTCCCTCTATTTCCTCTTCTCCCTCCGCCCCTCTCCTTCCTTATCCCTGGTGTTAGTCTCCTGAGGTAGCCTGGTGGTAGTCCCTTGAGGTAGCCTGGTGGTAGTCCCTTGAGGTAGCCTGGTGGTAGTACCTTGAGGTAGCCTGTTGGTAGTCCCCTGAGGTAGCCTGGTGGTAGTCCCCTTGAGGTAGCCTGGTGGTAGTCCCCTTGAGGTAGTCTCCTGAGGTAGCCTGGTGGTAGTCCCTTGAGGTAGCCTGGTGGTAGTCCCCTGAGGTAGACTGATGGTAGTCCCCTGAGGTAGCCTGGTGGTAGTCCCCTTTAGGTAGTCTCCTGAGGTAGCCTGGTGGTAGTCCCTTGAGGTAGCCTTGTGGTAGTCCCTTGAGGTAGCCTGGTGGTAGTCCCCTGAGGTAGCCTGGTGGTAGTCCCCTTTAGGTAGTCTCCTGAGGTAGCCTGGTGGTAGTCCCTTGAGGTAGCCTTGTGGTAGTCCCTTGAGGTAGCCTGGTGGTAGTCCCCTGAGGTAGCCTGGTGGTAGTCCCCTGAGGTAGCCTGGTGGTAGTCCCTTGAGGTAGCCTGGTGGTAGTCCCCTGAGGTAGCCTGGTGGTAGTCCCCTGAGGTAGCCTGGTGGTAGTCCCCTGAGGTAGCCTGGTGGTAGTCCCTTGAGGTAGCCTGGTGGTAGTACCTTGAGGTAGCCTGTTGGTAGTCCCCTGAGGTAGCCTGGTGGTAGTCCCCTGAGGTAGTCTGGTGGTAGTCTCCTGAGGTAGCCTGGTGGTAGTCCCCTGAGGTAGCCTGGTGGTAGCCCCCCCTCAGGTAGCCTGGTGGTAGTCCCCTGAGGTAGCCTGGTGGTAGTCCCCTGAGGTAGTCTGATGGTAGTCCCCTGAGGTAGCCTGGTGGTAGTCCCCTTGAGGTAGTCTCCTGAGGTAGCCTGGTGGCAGTTCCCTGAGGTAGCCTGGTGGTAGTCCCCCTGAGGTAGCCTGGTGGTAGTCCCGTGGTAGACCCCTGAGGTAGCCTGGTGGTAGTCCCCTGAGATAGTCTGGTGGTAGTCTCCTGAGGTAGCCTGGTGGTAGTCCCCTGAGGTAGCCTGGTGGTAGTCCCCTGTGGTAGCCTGGTGGTAGTCCCTTGAGGTAGCCTGGTGGTAACCCCCTGAGGTAGCCTGGTGGTGGTCCCCTGAGGTAGCCTGGTGGTAGTCCCCTGAGGTAGCCTGGCGGTAGTCCACCTGAGGTAGCCTGGTGGTAGTCCCCTGAGGTATCCTGGTGGTAGTCCCTGAGGTAGCCTGGTGGTAGTCCCCTTGAGGTAGCCCCGTGGTAGCCCCCTGAGGTAGCCTAGTGGTAGTCCCCTCAGGTAGCCTCGTGGTAGCCCCCTCAGGTAGCCTGGTGGTAGTCCTATGAGGTAGCCCCGTGGTAGCCCCCTCAGGTAGCCTTGTGGTAGCCCCCTGAGGTAGCCTAGTGGTAGTCCCCTGAGGTAGCCTTGTGGTAGCCCCCCTCAGGTAGCCCCGTGGTAGCCCCCTCAGGTAGCCTGGTGGTAGCCCCCTGAGGTAGCCTTGTGGTAGCCCCGTGGTAGCCCCCTCAGGTAGCCTGGTGGTAGCCCCCTCAGATAGCCTAGTGGTAGTCCCCTGAGGTAGCCTGGTGGTAGTCCCCTTGAGGTAGTCCCCTGAGGTAGCCTGGTGGTAGTCCCCTTGAGGTAGTCCCCTGAGGTAGCCTGGTGGTAGCCCCCTCAGATAGCCTGGTGGTAGCCCCCTCAGGTAGCCCCGTGGTAGTCCCACAGAACATCAACACCCGACATTAACATAACACAGTCTACATTTGCATGTTAAGTAAGTTATAATGAGATATTATACCTGTGTCAGACTCGGTTAAACCTCCCACAGTCACTGCTGTGGTACAGTCACTGCTGTGGTACAGTCACTGCTGTGGTACAGTCACTGCTGTGGTGCAGCCACTGCTGTGGTACAGTCACTGCTGTGGTACAGTCACTGTTGTGGTACAGTCACTGCTGGGGTACAGTCACTGCTGTGGTACAGTCACTGCTGTGGTACAGTCACTGCTGGGGTACAGTCACTGATGTGGTACAGTTACTGTTGTGGTACAGACACTGCTGTGGTACAGTCACTGTTGTGGTACAGTCACTGCTGTGGTACAGTCACTGCTGTGGTAGTCACTGCTGTGGTACAGTCACTGGTGTGGTACAGTCACTGCTGTAGTACAGACACTGCTGTGGTAGTCACTGGTGTGGTACAGTCACTGGTGTGGTACAGTCACTGGTGTGGTACAGTCACTGTTGTGGTACAGTCACTGCTGTGGTACAGTCACTGATGTGGTACAGTTACTGTTGTGGTACAGTCACTGGTGTGGTACAGTCACTGCTGTGGTACAGACACTGCTGTGGTAGTCACTGGTGTGGTACAGTCACTGGTGTGGTACAGTCACTGCTGTGGTACAGTCACTGCTGTGGTACAGTCACTGTTGTGGTACAGTCACTGCTGTGGTACAGTCACTGCTGTGGTACAGTCACTGATGTGGTACAGTCACTGCTGTGGTACAGTCACCACAGTGGTACAACCACCATAGTGGTACAACCACCACAGTGGTACAACCACCACAGTGGTACAACCACCGCAGTGGTACAACCACCGCAGTGGTACAACCACAACAGTGGTACAACCACCACAGTGGTACAACCACCACAGTGGTACAACCACCACAATGGTACAGTCACCACAGTGGTACAATTCACCACAGTGGTACAACCACCACAGTGGTACAACCACCGCAGTGGTACAACCACCACAGTGGTACAACCACCGTAGTGGTACAACCACAACAGTGGTACAATTCACCACAGTGGAACAACCACCGCAGTGGTACAACCACCACATTGGTACAACCACCACAGTGGTACAATTCACCACAGTGGTACAACCACCACAGTGGTACAACCACCACAGTGGTACAACCACCACAGTGGTACAATTCACCACAGTGGTACAACCACCACAGTGGTACAGTCACCACAGTAGTACAACCACCGCAGTGGTACAACCACCACAGTAGTACAACCACCACAGTGGTACAACCACCGCAATGGTACAATTCACCACAGTGGTACAACCACCACAATGGTACAACCACCACAGTGGTACAACCACCACAGTGGTACAGTCACTACAGTGGTACAACCACCACAGTGGTACAGTCACTACAGTGGTACAACCACCACAGTAGTACAGTCACCACAGTGGTACAACCACCACAGCGGTACACCCACCACAGTGGTACAACCACCGCAGTAGTACAACCACCACAGTGGTACAATTCACCACAGTGGTACAACCACCACAGTGGTACAACCACCACAGTGTCCTCCCTCATCCCTCAACCCTCGAGGTCATTACACAACAGGAAATTTCCACTTTCAGATGAACAGAAATGTAAGATTACTCTTAAGATCCAGATTACAGACGTCGCACCGTGATCCAGGAGGCTGATCCAAACACCTAACATCACAGTCAGACATCACAGTCAGACATCACAGTCAAACATCACAGTCAGACATCACAGTCAGACATCACAGTCAAACATCACAGTCAGACATCACAGTCACACATCACAGTCAGACATCACAGTCAGACATCACAGTCACACATCACAGTCAGACATCACAGTCACACATCACAGTCAAACATCACAGTCAGACATCACAGTCAAACATCACAGTCAGACATCACAGTCACACATCACAGTCAAACATCACAGTCAAACATCACAGTCAGACATCACAGTCACACATCACAGTCAAACATCACAGTCAGACATCACAGTCACACATCACAGTCAAACATCACAGTCAAACATCACAGTCAGACATCACAGTCACACATCACAGTCAAACATCACAGTCAAACATCACAGTCAGACATCACAGTCACACATCACAGTCAAACATCACAGTCAGACATCACAGTCAAACATCACAGTCACACATCACAGTCAGACATCACAGTCACACATCACAGTCAGACATCACAGTCACACATCACAGTCAAACATCACAGTCAGACATCACAGTCAAACATCACAGTCACACATCACAGTCAGACATCACAGTCACACATCACAGTCAGACATCACAGTCACACATCACAGTCAAACATCACAGTCAAACATCACAGTCAAACATCACAGTCAGACATCACAGTCAGACATCACAGTCAAACATCACAGTCAGACATCACAGTCAAACATCACAGTCAAACATCACAGTCAGACATCACAGTCAGACATCACAGTCAAACATTACAGTCAGACATCACAGTCAGACATCACAGTCAGACATCACAGTCAAACATCACAGTCAGACATCACAGTCAGACATCACAGTCAAACATCACAGTCAGACATCACAGTCAGACATCACAGTCAGACATCACAGTCAAACATCACAGTCAGACATCACAGTCAAACATCACAGTCAGACATCACAGTCAGACATCACAGTCAGACATCACAGTCAGACATCACAGTCACACATCACAGTCACACATCACAGTCAGACATCACAGTCACACATCACAGTCAGACATCACAGTCAGACATCACAGTCAAACATCACAGTCAAACATCACAGTCAGACATCACAGTCACACATCACAGTCAGACATCACAGTCAGACATCACAGTCAGACATCACAGTCAGACATCACAGTCAGACATCACAGTCAGACATCACAGTCAGACATCACAGTCAGACATCACAGTCACACATCACAGTCAAACATCACAGTCAGACATCACAGTCAGACATCACAGTCAAACATCACAGTCACACATCACAGTCAAACATCACAGTCAGACATCACAGTCAAACATCACAGTCAAACATCACAGTCAGACATCACAGTCAAACATCACAGTCAAACATCACAGTCAGACATCACAGTCAAACATCACAGTCAGACATCACAGTCAAACATCACAGTCAGACATCACAGTCAGACATCACAGTCAAACATCACAGTCAAACATCACAGTCAGACATCACAGTCAAACATCACAGTCAAACATCACAGTCAGACATCACAGTCAAACATCACAGTCAGACATCACAGTCAGACATCACAGTCAGACATCACAGTCAAACATCACAGTCAAACATCACAGTCAGACATCACAGTCAGACATCACAGCCAAACATCACAGTCAGACATCACAGTCAGACATCACAGTCAGACATCACAGTCAGACATCACAGTCAAACATCACAGTCAAACATCACAGTCAGACATCACAGTCAGACATCACAGCCAAACATCACAGTCAAACATCACAGTCAGACATCACAGTCAGACATCACAGTCAAACATCACAGTCAAACATCACAGTCAAACATCACAGTCAAACATCACAGTCAGACATCACAGTCAAACATCACAGTCAGACATCACAGTCAGACATCACAGCCAAATATCACAGTCAGACATCACAGTCAGACATCACAGTCAAACATCACAGTCAGACATCACAGTCAGACATCACAGTCAGACATCACAGTCACACATCACAGTCAGACATCACAGTCAGACATCACAGTCAAACATGAGAGTCAGACATCACAGTCAGACATCACAGTCAGACATCACAGTCAGACATCACAGTCAGACATCACAGTCAGACATCACAGTCAGACATCACAGTCAAACATCACAGTCAGACATCACAGTCAAACATCACAGTCAGACATCACAGTCAAACATCACAGTCAAACATCACAGTCAGACATCACAGTCAAACATCACAGTCAAACATCACAGTCAGACATGACAGTCAAAAATCACAGTCAAACATCACAGTCAAACATTACAGTCAGACATGACAGTCAAAAATCACAGTCAAACATCACAGTCAAACATCACAGTCAAACATCACAGTCAAACATCACAGTCAAACATCACAGTCAAACATCACAGTCAGACATCACAGTCAGACATCACAGTCAAACATTACAGTCAGACATGACAGTCAAAAATCACAGTCAAACATCACAGCCAAACATCACAGTCAGACATCACAGCCAAACATCACAGTCAGACATCACAGTCACACATCACAGTCAGACATCACAGTCAGACATCACAGTCAAACATCACAGTCAGACATCACAGCCAAACATCACAGTCACACATCACAGCCAAACATCACAGTCAGACATCACAGCCAAACATCACAGTCAGACATCACAGTCAAACATCACAGTCAAACATCACAGCCAAACATCACAGTCAGACATCACAGCCAAACATCACAGTCACACATCACAGTCAGACATCACAGTCAGACATCACAGCCAGACATCACAGTCAAACATCACAGTCAGACATCACAGTCAAACATCACAGTCAAACGCAACTTTAAAACTGTCTAAAACTGCTATAGGTTCCTCCACACACCTCTAATTCTATTTGGTCAAGACAAATCAACGGTCCAGCATCACCGAGCCTATATCACAACACCCACGGCCTTACCAAAGTCTACGAATCATGCCTAATCGAACCTAGCCCAGCCTAAGGGCCTATGTAGCCTCGCCTAATCTAGTTGAACCTAATCCAACCCCCAAGAACCTAGCCTAACCTAACCTAGCCTAACCTAACCTAACCTAACCTAACCTAACCTAGCCTAACCTAACCTAACCTAACCTAACCTAGCCTAACCTAGTTAACCCTTACCTAGCCTAAGCCAATTTTTTTCTAGCCGTAACAAAAATGGACAATTTAAGCAACGAATTCCGAGTGGAAAAATAAGTATTGTAATATATTATATATATTATATATATTATAAGTATAAGTATTCCACAAGTATTGTCTGGGTTGTTGAGGCCGCCAGAGGGAGCTGACTGTCGTCTCAGAGGATGATGAGGAAAAAGATGAGGGAAGGAGGCGAGGAGGAGTAGAAAGGATGAGGGGAGATGAGAAAGAGGGGGCGCGGGAATACGTGGAAATTGAAATTGAAATAAGTTTATTGAGGTAAAATACACATAAAGGGATGAGGTAGCTCAAGCTATTCTCACCCCGTTCAGTACATCGTGTTAATACATACATAGACACACATCACAAACAATAAACATATTACCAAACATTCTGAGAGATAAACATCTACATTTCCTATACGTGGAAAAGGAAGCTGCGAAGGGAGAGGGGCAGGAAGAGAAGGTAGAAGAGGACAGAGAGGGGAGGGTAAGAGAGCTGCAGAGTAACAACATAGAGGCAGAGCTTCAAGCTGCACCTCAGGTATGGCTCTGCAAGGTAGTATACTCTACAGATTAGAGAATCTCGGGGTATATGTGTATGTTGTGTTATACACGGCTTCGAGATGAAGGTCGAGTATAGCCCGAGGTGGTGTGGCCGAGGTAGTGTGGCCGAGGTAGTGTGGCCGAGGTGGTGTGGCCGAGGTAGTGTGGCCGAGGTAGTGTGGCCGAGGTGGTGTGGCCGAGGTAGTGTGGCCGAGGTAGTGTGGCCGAGGTAGTGTGGCCGAGGTGGTGTGGCCGAGGTAGTGTGGCCGAGGTGGTGTGGCCGAGGTAGTGTGGCCGAGGTGGTGTGGCCGAGGTGGTGTGGCCGAGGTAGTGTGGCCGAGGTGGTGTGGCCGAGGTGGTGTGGCCGAGGTGGTGTGGCCGAGGTAGTGTGGCCGAGGTGGTGTGGCCGAGGTAGTGTGGTCGAGGTAGTGTGGCCGAGGTAGTGTGGCCGAGGTAGTGTGGCCGAGGTAGTGTGGCCGAGGTGGTGTGGCCGAGGTAGTGTGGCCGAGGTAGTGTGGCCGAGGTAGTGTGGCCGAGGTAGTGTGGCCGAGGTAGTGTGGCCGAGGTGGTGTGGCCGAGGTGGTGTGGCCGAGGTAGTGTGGCCGAGGTAATCTTCACCACACTCATGAACAGTAAAGCCGCCTCGCCAGACGCCCACGCTAGGAGGACGATAGTAGGAGGCTACAAGATGACCTAGACAGACTGAGTGAATGGTCCAACAAATGGCTGTTGAAGTTCAACCCGAGTAAATGCAAAGTAATGAAACTAGATGGTGGAAATAGGAGGCCAAACACAGGATACAGAATAGGAGATGAAGTACTTAATGAAACGGAAAGAGAGAAAGATCTAGGAGTTGATATCACACCAAACCTGTCTCCTGAAGCCCACATAAAAAGAATAACGTCTGCGGCATATGCGAGGCTGGCTAACATCAGAACAGCGTTCAGGAACCTGTGTAAGGAATCATTCAGAATCTTGTACACCACATATGTAAGACCAATCCTGGAGTATGCGGCCCCAGCATGGAGCCCGTACCTTGTCAAGCACAAGACGAAGCTGGAAAAAGTTTAGAGATATGCCACTAGACTAGTCCCAGTACTAAGAGGCATGAGTTACGAGGAAAGGCTGCGGGAAATGAACCTTACGACACTGGAAGACAGAAGAGTAAGGGGAGACATGATTCCTACCTACAAAATCCTCAGGGGAATCGACCGGGTAAACAAGGATAAACTATTCAACACTGGTGGGACGCGAACAAGGGGACACAGGTGGAAACTGAGTACTCACATGAGCCACAGGGACGTTAGAAGGAACTTTTTCAGTGTCAGAATAGTTAACAAATGGAATGCATTAGGCAGTGATGTGGTGGAGGCTGACTCCATACACAGTTTCAAATGTAGATATGGTAGAGCCCAGTAGGCTCAGGAATCTGTACACCAGTTGATTGACAGTTGAGAGGCGGGACCAAAGAGCCAAAGCTCAACCCCCGCAAGCACAAACGCCTTCCCTCAGGGGGTCTAGGGGGGTTGTCACCTCCAGTGCTCGCCTGGCCAAGGACCTCGCTGCTGGCTACATTACCTACAATAATATTTCCCATGAATTTACACTTTAATTTTGTTCCTGTCGGTCATTTTGAACTGGCTGAAGACAGTTTGGTATTCAGCCACATTCAACCAAAATATTCACCCCCCAAACACCATGCCTCGAGGATTGAACTCACATTTCTCAACCACAGAAAACGGGATGAGCGAGATACTTCTTCAGATGCCAAACGGGATGGGTATGGGGTGCATAATAAAGGATGAAATTGAATTGAGATGCCAGTTAAATATCACCAGAATGGTGGCCGGACGCCACCATTCTGCGTGGTGCGTATATATATATATATATATATATATATATATATATATATATATATATATATATATATATATATATATATATATATATATATATATTAAAAAATCAGTAGGAGTCATGAGAAGGATTCGAACCATTTCACTTGGTGCTCCCAAGCCACACACAACCCTAAACCACTACACCACAACATGGTCAAAAACAATGCAACCTGAGATTCAGCTTCATCCACTAGGAACCCTGAGACTCCAAACCGGAAACTGGAACGTCAATACACGTTTGTTCCCATAGCATCTGAGACGCATGTCTCCCTGGAGTAGGAGTGCCTTGAACGTTATCAAGGAATTGGGTTCCAGCCTCGTTGGCACCACCCAAAAGGCTGCCAATTCCCTGTTCCAGCGCCTCAGTGTGGCGATCCAGAGGGGGAACACCCGCTATGTCCTCTGTTCCTCTCCAGCAGCGGAGGAGCTCCAAGAGATCCACAACCAACAACTCATTGTATAATGTATAATTTGTAACCTTTAAGTGTCAAATAAAGGAAAACAAAAACACAGAAAGAAGAGGGGGAGGGAGGGGTAGGACAAAAGAACATGGAAACTCCATTGGTGGGGAGCCAATATGAGTTGAAGACCCTGGGGGAGGGGTGTGGGGGCGTGTCCCCCTGCCGTGGGGGGGGGCGTGTCCTCCAGCCGTGGGGGGGTGGGGGGCGTGTCCCCAAACCGTGGGGCGGGGGCGTGTCCCCCAGTCGTGTGGGAGGGGGGGTGTCCCAAGCCGTTGAAACAGAGGGGAACAAGTCAGTGACAGTTGACTCATTTTCGATATACATGACTTTAGTGTAAATTGATGGGTTTTGTTTAATGAAGTGGCGTAAATATTTATACAATGAATAATAATGTTGTGTGTTGTGCTAACAGCACACTTCATTGCTCAATAAACCAGCCCGTCCTCACAAAAGTCAAAGTCCATTCCATGCACTCGCCAAACCCGCTGTTTATGAATGAAAAACGGTCTACACTCGACTCACAACTGATGACGTCCGAACACTTCCGGAACAAGTGCTTCACTGACGACTTTTGTTCGAACCACAACGCTGTAAATGCTTCACCCACGTACTACAAATACAAATAATCGCCAACAGGACCTAAACACCTAACCTAACCTATGCCTAAATAAGCACAGTATGGAAATATATAATAATATTAAATTTGAGAAAATTCCTATTTTGAATGAATGGCAGGTTATAATTGCTGAATGCGCCATTGGGGTCGACTGCTGGATGGAATGTACTTATCAAAGGACGTATTGCAATAAACAGCACTTGCGCGCGCGCGCACACACACACACACACACACACACACACACACACACACACACACACACACACACACACACACACACACACACACACACACACACACACACACACACACACTGTACCCACATGAGCCACAGAGACGTTAGAAGGAACTTTTTCAGTGTCAGAGTAGTTAACGGATGGAATGCATTAGGCAGTGATGTGGTGGAGGCTGACTCCATACACAGTTTTAAATGTAGATATGATAGAGCCCAGTAGGCTCAGGAATCTGTACACCAGTTGATTGACAGTTGAGAGGCGGGACCAAAGAGCCAAAGCTCAACCCCCGCAAGCACAATTAGGTGAGTACACACACACACACACACACACACACACACCATAAAAAGCTGGCAACATTTACAGTGACCTCGGGGCCACATTTTGTGCGGCTGCCATTTGCGTGCACTTCATCAAGGGAAACAGGGCCTCACGAGGGATGCCTACCGACATTACCTCTAAAGTGCTCTCTCTCTCTCTCTCTCTCTCTCTCCCCTGGTCTATAGTCTATTCTTACTCTCTTACTAATTCTCTCCCTTCCACTATCTCTCTCACTTTGCTTCTCTCCTTCTCTGTCTCTCACTCTACCCCCTCTCTCCTTCCTTGTTCCTTTTCTAAAAATGTATTGATGAATTTACCAGACGCCAAAGGTGAGATAACTCACGCCAGAGCGATGAGCATCATCCCGGAGCCTGTAGCCTTGGCTGTAGCTGTGCCTGTAGCCGTGGCTGTAGCCGTGCCTGTAGCCGTGGCTGTAGCCGTGCCTGTAGGCGTGGCTGTAGCCGTGGCTGTAGCCGTGCCTGTAGGCGTGGCTGTAGCCGTGGCTGTAGCCGTGGCTGTAGCCGTGGCTGTAGCCGTGCCTGTAGGCGTGGCTGTAGCCGTGGCTGTAGCCGTGCCTTTAGCCGTGCCTTTAGCCGTGCCTGTAGCCGTGCCTGTAGCCGTGCCTGTAGCCGTGGCTGTAGCCATGCCGTAGCCGTACCTGTAGCCGTGCCTGTAGCGGCAGCCGTGGCTCCACTACCCATGCTCCGGACAAGCGCGAGTATTGTTCGCGGCCGCGAGTAATGATCGCAATATTCGCGAGATGAGTCAACAATGCCCCAGATCTACGGAAGACCAGATTAGTTTGTGAAAATTTGGCGACAAGTTGGTTAGCTGATAACCTCTTGGTCCCCGGATCGATTCTCAAGCAAGACGAGACGTTTGGGCACGTTCCTTTCCACCTGATGACTCTGTTCACCTATGGAGGACGGGCTACATGGTGAGTGAGTCGAGCTCCTGAGGTGACCATCCCTCAGGAAGTAGCACTATGTAATGACCACAAACTGCCTACGAATTTAGCAGGAGGAATACTAGGAACGTCTTGTTTATACAACAGCTTCATTTTGGTGTAGTGATCGGTCACCTTAGTCGGAGGCAGGCAGCCTGAGCGGCTTACCAAGGTCCCCCCCCCCTCTATGTTGAAGATTGGTCTTCCCCCAGGATGCAACCCACAACAGCTCTCTAACTCCTGGGTGAACCTATTTAATGATATGTGAATAGGAGGAAAACATTGCCCAAACGTCTCTGTCCTGCCGCGGGAATAGAACCCGCCTGTCCTGTTCAGACACTGCAAACAATTTGGTTGTTCGACCAGTCAGTTTTTAAGGATATTACAACTAGTTAGGTTTATATAAATACTTTTAATACAAATAAAATATACTGAATTTTCACCTACGTTAGAGCAAAATTTATTGCAAATTTCTTCATCTATGTTGATAAAGAAACTAAAGTCCAGCGCTTGCATTCACTGAATCTCAAATAGCTTCGCGTGAAAGTGTATTGATTTTCATCAAAATCTTAAAGGTTTCCATTCAGTTTAGTCTCCGCTGCTTCACAGAAAACGTGTTCTGATACTTAAGTATTTCCTCGTAGGATATGAGTTCATAACGACGGTATCAGCTCAAGAGTCCCTGTACTTAAGCTTCTGTGTATTTTGGAGTTTTTTTATGAGAGCAAAATTTTACGGTATATTCTAGGTAGGACTTGGCTATTACTTAAATATAGTCAGTACCGTGTCTATCGGTACAGTGTCTATCAGATCAGTCTCGATTCTTATGGTCAATATTCCTAGTTATGAAGCCCAACGTTGTATTGATTTTGTAATCAGACTTGGCTCTTAATATATGATCGCTACTGATGACCTCAAGATCTTCGTCTTTGTTAGTGTTAAGTCGAGTAATCTTCCCAGCGTTTTGTATTCACGATATTGAAGTCAAAGTGTTTATTGTAGTCTTAGATGTTCATTCATTTATTCAGCAGCTGTTCAATATTATATCCATATACCATGATTCGTTTACATAATTATCGAGTAGTGATAACTCAATAGAGACCTCGCTATCGAGAGCTGGTTCATGGAGGTTCTGGTACTTCCAGAACCCCA